TGAAAATATGGCCGGGTCCCGTCGAGTGAGCTGCAACCTGGGAGTTGGCATCCTTCCTCTTGACTGCCGCTGCATGCTCGGCCATTCGCGTCCGGAGTTATCTTCGGGTTTCTCCGACATAGTTGCTTTGTCCACAACTGCACCAGATCCAGTGAATTACTCCAGCCGTATCCTGCCGTGTCAGTGGGTCTTTCGGTCTCATGGCCTGGTGCCTGTTGGTTGCTTCTGGTCTGTGCGCAACTCCAAATCCAAGTGGGGTCAGTAGACCTCTGACCGCTTCTGACATGGAAGAGCTCGCCAAACAGGCTAGATTAGAACGGTCATTTCTGCGTAACAGTAGATTCTCTGTCTCATGAAATGTCAAATGAAATTCTGAAATGCGCTTTCAATTGTAGTAAATTACTTAAGCGCAATTTTAATGCTGCTTATCGTACAGCCTCATCTCAAGATAATTTAGTCACATCAGATTGCCGGCTTTCGAACGAGCAGCTTTCTGACCGCCGGCAAGAATGATACTCTGTAAAAAGTGGCTATTTAAGTAGTATGTATTTTTCTCATTTATTTTCGCCCTTGTAGATTCGAATATATTTTGTAGGATAGATGCACAACTTATACTTGTTTTCCAGCAGCCTAAGCCCCCTGCGGATTTGGCACTTAAAGAAAGCATTTCTTTTGATTTTAACCTTTTTAACCTTTTGAACCCTGCTGGCCGTTAAACTTGAATTTAAGGTCTCCAAACTGCTTGCCGTATAAATTCTGTCTTTGGAAAACTGGCACGTGCCCCATGATATGAAGAAGTAGCAAAGTTCTCATAAAGTTTTGTAATGGATGTGGAGCAAGTTTTTTAATTTATAAGCAGCAGCGTTAATAAATGGAGACTTAATGAGCGCATAATTAATGGTTTTAAAAATTCTTATAATCAGAAACTTTTTTGAAAGCGAAAGATGCCCTTTCTTCAAGTAGTAAATTTAAGAAAGGCGTAATTTGCTACAAGAAAGCATATTTTTGTACATGTTTCTTTTTGCAAAATCTGTTTGAATTTGCAAGGGTTGTGAAAGATCAATTATACAAATTTGTACTAATTTAGTAGCCATTCTGCTTTAAGACAGACAGAAAGAAGGCCAGCACCCCGTCGGGACGGAAATATATTGCGGTTATGCTGTATGGTGTTATGTGATTATGCAGCCCATTTCGGAATTTCGGTAGAAATTTCAAGTTGGTAACTCATCAGAGCCTGTATTAATAAGCGCACATGTCGTCGAATTGGGCTCATTGTAAAGGGCACCATGTGATTTAATGAGGCTTAAGTTCACTTTTTTTCTATTTGAAAGACCTTTCTTGGAGAGTTCTTTTGTCACGTGACGTGCGTGAAAGTGATGACGTGTGGGAGAGTATGATGAGTCGTTTACCGCGAAAGGAAACCAGCACTTGGGTATTCCTCTTCAGTACCTGCGACTTATTGTGACCTGTTTCTTTATGTTTCAAGCCGAACAGTCAGGAATTGATAAGCAATCAAAAATATAACTTACCGTTTAGATCTTAAATGCGGTAACGTAGCAACGAGCGTTGCTTAAAATTTCGACTACATTTGTGACGAACAAAAGAAGCAGGTGAATTAAAGGTAAAAATGACTAATTAGCATAATAATAAGTATCACCCATTGGCTTTCATTGAATGATTTTGCAATAGTCACATGGGTCCTCTGCAGTCGCTACACTGGTTACCTTTTCTAAACAGATTAAGGTTACAAAAATATATAAACCAAACTTACTAATGTAAATTAGGCAAAGCAAAGCCATCAATGTTTTGCATAAATCGACATTGAAGCGGCTGGATTCGTTCGGACATTTTAGCCGGTCATATGTAGATAGTACTGTCGGAGACACTAGAATGGCCGTTCCTGGCTTTTTAGCCAGTCAGAACCCAACCTCAAATGGTGCACCACTGGAAGCTCGAGCTCGCGATATTTTTGATCAGAGTCTAGCGCTCTAACCACGGAACCACAAGTTCATTGTGTTGCCGCTTTATGTCGGGAGATATTGAAACTCGCTGATTAACGTTCAAAGATCGCTAACGGAACTCACTCGTCCCGCGCTGCCTTTGTGCTCCTTATCGAGTCCCGCCAGTAGCCGCACAGCGGCTGATGTCAGCAAAATGAACGTACCTCTTCGGAGATGAGATCTCTATCATTTTTGTTGCACTCATGGCTCAGCTCCAGGCTCGTTTTTAAAACGTTGTCTGCCAACTCCTAAAACAGACAAGAAGCAAAACATAAAAATCGAGACTCCTGCCAGAATGAAGGAATTTTTCGGAGATACCGCGTACGTTCTCACTTTAGAATGAAGCCATATTTTGAAAGAAAGCCTACAAGTAATTTTCTTCCGCGAACACTCAGATAGCTTGGTCGTCAGAGGACGCTAGCTGAGGAGGCTATAAAAATGGGTTTGCTGCCAGTAAAAATAGGTAGGGATTCGTTAATAAACGATCACCCAGTGCCAACGAAACCCACTACTCCCCCCTCTGCCTTGGGGCGCATTGTCAAGCCCCGCCAACAGCCGCACACCGACTAGTAGTCTAGGCAGATAGCATTGCCGGCAAAGACAAAGGAGACTGAAAATGGCCATTTATGGCTTATTAGCCGTCATCAGCCAGTCATTACCAATCCAAATGGTGTACTACCGGTCATAACTATTAGCAACCCAGGTGCAGGCTGATTTTCACTTAAATTGAGTCCAGACAATCTTAGATAGAGGGAGTAGTCAACTACGCACATTCCTCAGAGGATGTGTGAATCTTTTAAGGAAATGTTTCCTTAGATAGGACAAAGAAAACTGTTCGAACCGTCTTAACTTTAATCTCAACCCAAACCTTAAGCCCAACCCTGAGTTACCTCGGATTTATTGCAAAGTCACAGGTGCATGCCAAATCATGAGAGTTGGTTCTTTTTGGGTCATCGAAGGGCGACCACGTAGGTTAACGAAGGCCTTTGGATGGCCATTCCGCATAAACTGGTCACGGAAATATCAGGCCTCAAGTGCAGTTTCTTCCGGATTACTGCAGTGAGTCTGGATCCTGTTGAATAGCGTTCTCACGCAGCTTCGTTTGTAAGCCACCGGATGCTGGCTGTGAAATCTGAGAAGCTGTGTAGTATTGACGATTTATATCTGACGATGGACTCCCGCAAGATTTCGAAAGCTCAGCCTAATAAAACTATGATTCCGGTGATGAAAGTTGCTGCTTCTTCTCGATCTAGAATCCCAAACGTCAAACCAACTATCTCGGAGTCGCCTTTTGGTGTTAATCGATATTTATCCTTACCTTTTCTCCCTAAACTCAGTATCTAACCCGTTCGTCTTCCCAGAAATTATTCGCCTTTCTTTTGCAGTTGCGCTTCACACCTCTCCATTTGGCGGCCCAGAATGGCCACAAGCAGACCGCGCGTATCCTCCTCTACTTCGGCGCCGATGTGAATGCCAGAAACAAGGTAATGCATCCTGTTTTCACTAATCCATCTCTGTCTTGCGTAGTACGGAGACACTCCGCTGCATACTGCCACCCGGTACGGTCACATCGGCATTGTTCGAATCCTTCTGAACGTGAGGGCGGACGTTACAGCCACCAACGCCAACTACGACACCCCGTTACACATTGCGGCCGCTTTGGGACGCAGCACGATTGTTCGTCTGCTGATCGAGGCCCAGTCCACGTCGAGGGCTGATGCCGACTGGAAGAGTCTGGGTAGTCGCATACTGTCCTGTGTCTTTGGTTCAGCA